TGACTGGCCATATGAAAGCTCAGACAAGTCACAGCTAATGGGTCACAGCTTGTGACATTATCATCTGGCACTGCTGCTCCTTTCTGATCCTTTCTGAGCATGTGAATGGCTGGTATATGTGCTGTTATCTGATACCTGGCAGCAAAGGTGTTGCTGGGTAACTTGGCTTGAGTGCTGACAGAGAGAGCTGCACATGCACATATACCATAAGGTCACTGCTCTAGACTGTGCGCCCAAAGATCTGTAGGACAGTCCCTGCCCTCTACATCATCATGGAGGCTATTGTTCCAACATCACAGAGATGGAGCAAGACATACACAATCATCACATGCCTCAGAAGGGGACTAGCGGTAGGATGCAAGCAGGGGAGGGTGGTGTTTTTACTTTAGAATTATTTGTCTTTGGCAGTTGATACTCTGTATGTTCCCTAAGTGTAGAATCTCAACACATAATGATTTGGCTTTAAAAGGCAATTTTGTAATGCCAAACAAATATAAAGCAAATTTGCCAACCAAAAGAAAAGGCATTGGTTAAATTATTAGGGATTCTATTTTCTTCCACATTTAGTCAATTCAAATGCAAATATATTTGGTCCTGTTTCAAGACACAGACAAATATACTTTTTATTCCTGTAGCGGAAGATTTTGAGTTCCAAGTAGCAACAGCAACCTTTGATCTACTTGGCCTTTGCCTTAGCTTTCTTTTTTTTTTTAAATTTATTTATTTGTGTGTGTGTGTGTGTGTGTGTGTGTGTGTGTGTGTGTGTGGCCAGCTCAGCCCACCAGAGGGCAGGGCAGGCTGGCATGTGGTGCTGGGGGATTGAACCGTGGTCCCTGTGCTTTGCTATGCTTGTTCTAAGTAGGTGCTTTAGACCACTGAGCCATCTCACCAGCCCTGCCTTAGCTTTCTCAATGCATGTAAAACCTATTGTACATTTTAAGTTCAGGTCCTCACCTTCTAACTTTCTATTACTTTTTCTTTACTCATTATTTCTGCATTTTATGCACAAATTACAATAATAAAAGTATTGAGGTTCTCATACATACTCATTTTTCCCTGTACTCTATCCTTCTCAAAACTCTACAACAGTCCATAATTGGGGAGCAAGGAGTTGGGAGCCAAGAAAACCTGGAAGTTTATCTAGTCACTTTTCCCCCAGAAGTCTGAGAGGGCTAAGGAAAACGCTGAAGTTTCTTTTGTCCAAAGGAAAGAAGAAAACTAATCATCAGAAGCTGTCTATTATTACTGGACATGATTCCCAAGCCTGTAACTCCAGCATTGTGTAGACTGAGGCAGGAGGATCGCCATGAGTTCAAGACCAGTCTAAGACCAGCCTGGACTACATAGTGAGACCCTGTCTCAGGAAAAAAAAAAAAAAAGAAAGAAAGAAAGAAGAAAGACAGAAAGAAAGAAAGAAAGAAAGAAAGAAAGAAAGAAAGAAAGAAAGAAAGAAAGAAGAAAGAAAGAAAGTAAACTGAGTGTGGTGATACACACCTATAATCCCAGCACTAGGGAGGCTAAAATAATAGCATTGCTGTGAGTTCAAGGCCAGTCTTGGCTACATAGAGAATTTGAGGCCAGCCTGAATTATATAGGAAGATCTTGTTTCAAAAGAGAGAGAGAGAGAGAGAGAGAGAGAGAGAGAGAGAGAGAGAGAGAAACCATCTATGATCATAGACACGATGACCTGTGACAAATAGTGTCACCTGAAACAGGTAGCATCTCAGCATAGCTAAGAGCACACTTCTTTGGTAGTACAATTTACATTAGGATCAAGTAAATGACTTGGGTCGGGGAGATGGCTCAGTAGAATAAATGCTTGCCTGGCAAGCACAAGGGCCTGAGTTCAACCCCCAGTTCCGCAAAAA